AAATGAAGTGTTTTGACTGTTTTCGCTTCCTTTTATACTTGCCACTACCAACCATGGTCTGGGCTTTACGAATAGCTTTTGCCGCTAATACTTTTCCCGCCTCTTTGGCTCTTTGTTTAGCAGCAGACTTAATGTTTTCACCTGCCAACACATCATTTGCGATGAGAGCTCCGGTGCGCAAAGCTTCTTTTCCCCCCCACCGTTTTGGCTCCTTTCACAAACAAAGGCATAGCAGAGCGAAATAGACTGCGAAAAAATCCACCGAGACCATAGCCCTTTTGATAGGGTTGACCTTGGTAATAAGGAAGCCCCGAGCCGGTTTGATAATGATTTTCATAATTTTGAGTACAACATTCGTATGGTACGAGCATCTTGATGTCTTTTTACAAATAAAACTTTTCCTCTTCTGTTGTCATATTTATAGGATTTGTCGCCTTCGGAAATGAAGCACAAGAATTAACTTACCCCTCTCAAAAGGAACGAATGTACCCGAATTGAGTCGGATTTCCACTTTCGATTGTATTAAATGAATTTCTTGCTACTGGTACATAATGCGGTCTGTCGTATTGTACATTTACGGTATCACCATCTTTTCCGGTAACTGTCACGACTTTTAAGAGGGGAGCTTGCACATTACCAACAATCTGAGGCGAAACGTCACTATACACATAAAGTACTATGTAAGCAGAATGCAGATCCCCCACATATGGACTATTCCAAGTACCTTCGACAATCTGCGGTTCGAAGCCTAATAAACTTGCCAATCCCGAATCATAAAAGATTAACCGAGCTCCATTTTGCGTGACAATTTTTACTCTTTTTGTTGAACGATCATACTGTAAGGAGATTTTATCTTTAAATGATGCTAAAGTCATGGCCTTTAAGAGATCTGGGACACTTTCGTAACATCCTGGTGGTATTTTTCTATTGGCAACTTCCCTTACACCTGAAGAGTCACCCAAATCAAAGCCAAAGAGATTGTTATCTTTGTTAATATTGTACCAGGTATGCGGGTAAATGATCTCAGAAAGACCAACTTCCCATTCCCCGTTCAAAGATATGGGTACAGGCAATTGAGTAATGAAATGAGAGATAGTATTTTCTGGAAAATAACGTTGAGAGCTATCACTAGGTAACGTCATATAGAAAGACATCTTGGCAAATGACGATTCTTTATACGATGTGGAGTTTTTATATTCTTTTCACATCGGTCACCCATGCATTAAATTTTGGTGGATAACCTACGAATTTCACATAGTATTCCGTCACACCGTTTCTCTTTCTTTCTCTCGCAACACTTTTTCAACAGGATAATATCCCGAATCTGAAATTTTTTGCAGTTCCTTTTCGTAAAAGGTTCCTTCAATGACTTCTCCGGCAAGGTCTTTAAGTCGATAAACAGGTGGATTTCTAGGAAGGATTTCATGGATCGTAAATATTTCTCTTGTCCAGTTACTTTCATAGCCTTTTTCAAAAATCATTTTTAATTTGCTAACGCGCACTGTATCTCCCACTTTGAACTTAGGTTGAGGTTTAGGTAGGTCTTTATATAATTGATTCCACACTTGTTTCTCATTGTGTTTATTGACATTCGCTGGTTCAGTTTGAATAGAGCGATGCCAGGTATGATTATAACTGTGAATTAATTTATCTATTACGTCAATATAACGATATGTATTCATTTCACTGAAGTACTTCCTTCCACATTTTGCTTTTGAGGGTTCTGTGGAATCGTTCGATGATGCTTGCCTTTACTGTACTGTTCTCAGTTGTGAAAAAAACGAACTTTTTCTTTTTTAAGATAAGTTTGAACGATTTTATTCTTATACTCTTTACCTTTGTCAGTCTGTAACACATGTGGTTTTCTCTCGCTAAAAATATGTTCAAGAGCTGATTTGACACTCTGACCTGTTTTTATCTTTGAGTGGAATAGCCCAAGCATATTTGGAAAACACATCAATACACGTTAGCAAATATTTATATCCATCGTTGTGTTTGGCAAGAGACTGCATATCTGCCAAATCAGATTGAAACTGAGCGTCGATGCCTCTGACGAGGACGCGATTGCGACGAAAATGTCGCTGGGTAGGCTTGTGCAAAAGTATATGACTCTTTGCTGGTAAGCCAATTCTTGATCGTTTTGTGACTTTCTTTGCCTTTTAAAGCACGATGCAAAGCACTCACTCCACCAAAACTGGCGGGAAGGGCTGGATCGCGATACATCTGAGTCAGATTCATGGTATGTACAGCAGTGATTTTTACTAATAGAAATGTGAACGCTCATTTATAGTTTTCTCTAAATTTATAGTTTTCTCTAAAACATACAACCTCTTATTTCTACATCTATCATCATCAATCCTTCTTATGAACGGAAAGCAAATGTGTATGAGTATTTATAGTGTTCCCTTAATTTTATATATAGTTATTTTTAACTTAATGAGACAGTAAAGAGACCTTTATAAACAAATAATTTTATTTACTTTTTAAACATTCATAATATTCAATACCATAACAGTCTATAAGTTTAGGATACTTCAAATCTCCGTTTTCTTGGATCAGCTGTTCTAGTGACGTCTTTAGAATGGTTTGAAGGCATGCTCTTCCCAAAGAAATGTCGAAGGATTCTGGAAGCTTTTCCTCGTTAATAGGTTCCTCGGATACACTTTAGTAGGCTTCACAAAAGTCCATACATAGATATATGAGGTTAGTGACAATGGTACTGATACGATTCTAATTTGTGGACAATTCTTCGAACTGGGCGATTGTAAGTCTAATACTGCTTTTCTCCACTCCTTTTACTGTTAGTTGCTTTAACGTGATGTGGTAACCATCATATTCCGCACTAAAATTCTTGGGTAGTTGCAAATTCATTGTGAAAACCTCTTGTGGGCTGTGTTGAGAGAAGGTGTTCAAACACGAAGGCTCTAAATTCACACCGTTACGAGTCGGATAATATGCACTCCCGTACTTGCTGTATTGCCTGATGTGCACGGTGATCTTTCCGTTGAAAAGGATAGGTCCCACAAAGACATTGTTGCCAATATGTGTCAGCTCCTCTGGGATTGTGTCTTCAGTAAAGCGTCCATTGCGCTAAAAGAGAAAAAATAATGATTAGTCGTTTGGTACAAGAATAATAAGTCTGCGTTATAGCAAGAATAAACTCTTTTCGTAATACTTACTTTCTTCTTAGATGTATTATCTTCGTCTATTTTTCGTTTGCCATTAGTGTTCCGCGAGATGGGTGTTTCTTTGGACTTCTCATGGTGTGGGTCAGAATTACAATCAGAATCTGAAATCTTCGGCACATCCACGTTGAGAGGCTCGTTCTCGAACTGTTGTTCCAAATCCATCTGAAAAATATAAATTCAAACTATAAAGGTAATGCAACAAATGCAGATTTTCGTACTCAAATTAAATAGTAACATCAAATATACGAACACGGAAAAGATATATGATTAAAAATAAATACATACTTCAAATAACATGTCTTGATTCAAACAGGAAGAGCAAAAGCAGGAGCGAAGCACACAGCACAGACAGAAATGATATGAAAGGGTCCAGCGTCTCTCTATATAGGCCTTGGTCAGGATCCAGGAGAACCAATTAGAAAGGTCTATGGATAAGACTACTACCCTCTAGCGGTGATTGCTGAACTAAATAGAATGTACTAGAAATTCTAACATGTATCTGCATGCTGCAATCAGGTTGCGGATTAAGTATGACATCAGAGCAGCGGGAGTTCTACGTCAATGGATAAGTGCAGACGTGAAACCGGATTACAACACAAACGGGATGAAACATGTGGCTGACGTAGCACTAGCAAGATAATTCGAGGTGATAATGCGTGATGACGTCACGAACAGGATGTTTCACGTTCGTAGTTGATGACGTAGTTGATGACGTACTCAATTCCTTCCCCCCTGTGAGCGCCACGCAGTCCCAGCGCCACAGCGCCACATGGCCCCAAACCGGCCTTTACCTACTAATAGCTTTATAATTATTTGGAACGTTAATTATGCTTGATAAATATACTAAATTTTTAAAAATCAATGTCAATTTCAAAAGTAAAAATATGTAGAAATTCTAATTTGTGAAATGAGGCGTTACAACCAGCTTTTTCTTGACAATTTTGCACGCTGCAATAGGCTACCACTGTTAAATTTCTGCAAGTCGTCCCTACTTCTTCGGATGTGATCAAGGTGACATCCGGGAACGCCTCAGACGAGGGAGAAAACACGTTTGGGTTAGTCTATTTCTTATAAGGTCCATGGTTTATTCTAAAAGACAGTTCTTCGGATAATGTAATGCTGCTGAGCAATTTTTTCCCAATTGCTGCGCGTCTATTTATGATAAGAGTTTTTTAAATAAAAATCATTTTAGAACTACAAATATTTAATTTTGCATTTAAGAAATAGTTCTGTACTATCACCACAGTCCTCTCTAATAGGTGGTTTTGCAAACAAATATAATAATAACACAATTTTAAAATGATAGAATTGAAATTTTTTTTCGGAAGAAAAGGTAGATTTTTTATTTATTTTCCTCTATGTCATTATTACATTGAGACATTTGCTTATACCAAGAGAAGAGACAAGTTCAATGACTGCTCAGGCGGACACACTCAGGGTCCGCCCCCGGCAGCAAATGTTCTAATTATGAAGACATATATATATATATATAGAGAGAGAGAGAGAGAGAGATGTAAGATAAAAACTATGTGAGTCAAAATTATAATTTAAACTAACGGTAACTCTTTAATTCTCCCTCTGTGTTCTAAAGATCGTAATAACTTCTCTGGATTGCGTCATTGCTAGATCATTCCACTTTGCATGGTCTGCGCGGCGCTGATGACGTAATAATTTGGAACTGAAACTTTTAACTCAAACCAAAACCTTTCTCTTTGTGTGCTTCCATATAGCATAACTACGCACTTCAGCTTCGCTCTCTACCCTGCTAGCATGTAATTTCGCTGTCTTGCTTGCTACTGCAATAGTATCAAAAATGTAAATGTTCTGTGAATAGGCACGACTAGAGTGCCAAGTGATTTTGACCACAAATGTCAATTGCAAAGAAAACGGGAATTAAAATTGCCTCAACTGCCAAGTTTTTTATATATTACAAAGGCAACATATTAGATTACTACGCAATCGGAATGCTTCCTCTTCAATATGGATCTACGATCTATCCTATATAGCTATTACGCATCGACGCTGCTCCATTTTTTTCTTGCTATTACTACATATAATTTAGTCGCACAGGATAGTTACCAGTAGCCTGAGACCTCAATAGAAAATTTATTCAGCTCTTCAAGTCCTCGTTTTGTGATAAATTCAAAGGGAATGCGAAAGAAGGGAATCATCAAATTTGTTTCTTCAGTATTTAAAAAATAACCTGTCATCCTTCTGCTGTGGTGCTTTGCAAATGGTTCAAAAAATAATCACGTCTCGAAAATTAATTGTTTGCAGAGTGAAAGTAATCTCCCGATAAATCCGGAAGTTCGAATGCCTAGTGAAAAGGAATATTGAATTTGCTTCGGCCATGTCTATAATATTTAGAAAAAAAAAGTGCTTTAAATCATCAGTGAATTACCGCTTAAGAGATTCAGCATTACAGTGTGTTCGTCGATCTCAGTTTTGCAAGTATATGTGCTACAGAAAATTATTGTGCTTCCGCTTTTTCTACTAGTATTTCGTCAATCGACAGCTCAAAAAGTGTTATTTTCGTGTGAATTTAACTCAGGAACAAGACAAATTATTTAGTATCTTGTGGATTCTATACTTCAATTTTGCTAAAAATTTCTGCAATTTGATTGTGCTGTTTTGCGAAAAAGTGAAATTCTTGTTAATTAATTTTTCTAATTTTTATAAGTGTGTGCGAGCAAATTAAGTAACAAAGTTTAAGCTATTTGAACTATTTATAGTGAAGGATATTAAGGTAAATAATTATATTTTTGAATTTATGTTGAAAATTTTGAATTGTTGATAAGAATTTTTAAATGAATGAAATAATTACTAAAATAGTATAAAATATAATAAACAAGTAGTGTTTTGAGTAGTATTACAAGAAATATTAAATGTTTTGGTGTAGAATAGTGTAATGTATCAGGTATCTCTCCCGCTTTCCTAGCGTGCCTTTGTGGTGTAGTACTTCTGCACCCTGAGCCTGTATTCCAGAGGTCTGTGGTTCGATTCTCGGCGAAGGCGGTTGCTAATTTTTCATCTTTTTTTGCTTCCAAAATACCTAATGTCTCTACAGTGGCGCCCGAACTAAAAGGGTGTTGGATGAGGATTCTCCACACCCAGGATTTGGCGATTGGGTCCCCTAAAAACCCCAGTCGCCCTTTAAAAAGGGGAGTATATATGGTATATCTCCCGTTTTCCTAGCGTGCCTTTGTGGTGTAGTGGTTTGTGCTGCATGCTGGGCCGGTATTCCAGATGTCCGTGGTTCGATTCCCGGCGAAGGCGGTTGCTAATTTTTCATCTTTTTTTGCTTCCAAAATACCTAATGTCTCTACAGTGGCGCCCGAACTAAAAGGGTCTTGGATGAGGATTCTCCACACCCAGGATTTGGCGATTGGGTCCCCTAAAAACCCCAGTCGCCCTTTAAAAAGGGGAGTATATATGGTATATCTCCCGTTTTTCCTAGCGTGCCTTTGTGGTGTAGTGGTTCTGCACTCTGGGCCGGTATTCCAGATGTCCGTGGTTCGATTCCCGGCGAAGTCGGTTGCTAATTTTTCATCTCTCCGGCTTCCAAAAAATACCTAATGTCTCCACAAATGTATAAAAATATGAGTAATTCAAGAAACTGAATTATTATCATAAGCAGTATGAAATTATGTTAACTAATTTTAAAATTTACGGATCACAATATATTCAGATAAACTTTGAAGGCTTTCACTTTAATTTAATTTAATTTATTGTATATATAACTGTTTTTTTAATATAATGGAGTGTGGTTGTAGAGTCATTAGGATTTTTTTTTTTTTTTTGAAAAACCAAGAGAGATGAAATATATGCAACCGCCTTCACCTGGAATCGAACCACTTACCTCTGGAATACCGGCCCAGCGTGTTACCGTTACACTACGAAGGCACGCTAGGGAAGGGAGAGAAATACCTTATATACTCCTCTTTTTAAAGGGCGACTAGGTTTTTAGGGGACCTAGTCGCCAAATCCTGGGTGCGGAGAATCATCATCCCCAGCCCTTTTAGTTCGGGCGCCACTGTAGAGTCATTAGGTTCATTAGATGCTGAAAAGATGAAATATATGCAACCGCCTTCGCCGGGAATCGAACCGCGGACCTCTGGAATACCGGCCCAGCGTGCTACCGTTACACCACGAAGACACACTAGGGAAGTGGGAGAAATACCTTATATGGTTAGTTTTTTTTTCTATAATGTGAATGTTTTAGTGCAGGTCATAACGGCCAATTGACATGAAAGAAGGAACGGAGGCCTTTATAAATAACTGCGGCGAGAGTCAAGTAACCATTAGTGAGATTTCATACACTTAATTCATTATTGTGAATTTGCCCATAAGATGGAAATGTTCGTATTAAGAGAAAGCTGTGGAGTCTTCCAGTTTGTACAAAATAAATAAATTAGAAATTTCGATAATAATAATATATTATTTCAATGAGGTTTCAAATAAAAATTTAATTACATTATAATATTTTTGAAAAGTTTGTAATGTTTAATGGATGTGTTTGAAATTTTTATATTTGAAAGCTATTTGAACTATTTATAGTGAAGGATATTAAGGTAAATAATTATATTTTTGAATTTATGTTGAAAATTTTGAATTGTTGATAAGAATTTTTAAATGAATGAAATAATTACTAAAATAGTATAAAATATAATAAACAAGTAGTGTTTTGAGTAGTATTACAAGAAATATTAAATGTTTTGGTGTAGAATAGTGTAATGTATCAGGTATCTCTCCCGCTTTCCTAGCGTGCCTTTGTGGTGTAGTGCTTTTGCACCCTGAGCCTGTATTCCAGAGGTCTGTGGTTCGATTCTCGGCGAAGGCGGTTGCTAATTTTTCATCCTTTTTTGCTTCCAAAATACCTAATGTCTCTACAGTGGCGCCCGAACTAAAAGGGTGTAGGATGAGGATTCTCCACACCCAGGATTTGGCGATTGGGTCCCCTAAAAACCCCAGTCGCCCTTTAAAAAGGGGAGTATATATGGTATATCTCCCGTTTTCCTAGCGTGCCTTTGTGGTGTAGTGGTTTGTGCTGCATGCTGGGCCGGTATTCCAGATGTCCGTGGTTCGATTCCCGGCGAAGGCGGTTGCTAATTTTTAAAAGCCTTTCCTAAACAGATATAATTATGAAATTAATTTTCTTATTTTATATTCACAAAATTATATGGCTCATATTATTATTGTAGGGCAGTGTAGAATTTAATATAGCTTTAATTTTTGTATATTTGTTTTTCATTTCCTTTAATTAGTTTAAAGATTTTTATGGCCATAAGTTATAAGTGTAAATTTTGATAATTATACAATACTAGAGTCCAGTTTCCTTTATTAAGGGCCCGCCAACGGCCGAGCGGTAAAGTCGCTGAACACTGGTAATTCGGCCCGAGGTTCGAATCCCGCGAACGGGCTGGCTGCATGGGTGTTTTCGTGGTTATCCCCATGTGCAACGTGTATACGAGCCAGTTCCCCTTAGAAAGTCATCCACGAAGGCATCCCTCCTCTTAAGCAGATAGCCCTAGTGTGCTTTGCCATAATTAAATACACCATACACCTTTATTAAGGAATGGAGGCTTCTATGTGTAATTGTATTTAAGCATCCCACAGCCATTAGCAAATGTCACGCTGATTTGCATTGTAAAGGATTTGCCCGTTTTTATCAAAGTTTATTTTGTTATTGTACTGAATTTTTTACTTACTATGTATTAATTTCTAAATTCCATTTTACATTGGTTTATAATTAAGAAAATGTGGATTATTTTATGAATAATTAATTCAAATTTCAGGAATCTGTGGAAAAAATTTTGGTTTTATAATGGCAACATCAATTTTTATGAAAACCTTTCAAGATATAGATTGCAAAGACTTTTAAATTCCCATAGAATTTTCAATTTCAATTTATTGTTAAAAATGATATCTACAAGATTTTTTTTATTTAAAAAATTATTTATATCAAATTCTATGATTTCTTTTTCACAATTGCATTTCCTTGTTTCGCTAATTATGTAATGCTTGTTTCTAAAAAAGGCTTTTCTGTCGCCAAGCCTTTTTTTCTATGAAGGGGGAGGGGAATATGTATGATCAAAAATATGTGAATCAAAATTATAATTTAGACTAACGGTAACTCTTTAATTCTCCCTTTGCGTTCTAAAAATCGTGATAACTTCTCTGGATTACGTCATTTCTAGATCATTCCATTTTGCATGGTCTGCGCAACGTTGATGACGAAATAATGGGGAACTGAAACTTTTAAGTCAAACCAAAACCTTTCTCTTTCGTGCTTTCATATAGGATAACTACGCACTTCAGCTTCGCTCTCTACCCTGTTAGGATGTAATTTCGCTGTCTTGCTTGCTATCGTAGTTATGTCAAAAATGTAAATGTTCTGTGAATAGGCACAACCAGAGTGCCAAGTGATTGTGGCCACAAATGTCAATCGCAAATAGAAATGAAATTAAACTGCCTCGACCACCAAGTTTTTTAGACATAACGAAGTGAAAACATTAGCATACTATATATTAGCATACAATCGAAATGCTTCCTCTCAGAGCTTAAATTGTGCCGGAGCCCACCGGAGCCTAGCTCCGGTACTTCTTAGTGTTTGGGATAAATCATAATTCTAGACGGAGCGCACCGGAGCTCTACATAAGAAGGCTCTGGCACTTCTTCTAAGTAACTGAACAACAATATTAGCAGAAATCTGATCTCGAAAATTTTATTTTTAGCAATAAAATTATATTAAAGATTGCTTATTAAATTTTAATTTACTTCTGTACATTTCATGTAATTTCAATAATTTTATTATTTTAAAGAATATTAATTAATTAATTATTAATTAATTGAACACATAATTAAATAACAATAAAAATATTGATCATTATATTTAATTAATAATTATTATTTAATCTGGCAATATTTAACTATTTAATTTTTAATTTTTATGGATTTTAATGGCCTTTTATTTATTTATTTACTCTTGTTCCTTTCTTGGCGGTCTTGCATAGGGCTCCGGCGCTTCTAATTTTAAAAATTAAGCCCTGTAACTTAAATTATTAAATATCGTTATTTGAATCCTAATGCGGTGCTGCTATGGTTACCCGGGTCATTAGCTTTAACTTTTTGGCAAAAAATTCCATTTTCACCTCCTCAAGAATCCTGCCAATGGTAGCAGAAGTCCAGTGCAACGGTCTGTGCAATCTATTGCCAAAAAGCTGCATTCATCATTCTCAAAACTTACTCTTAATGAAGAAAATTGCTGGCGCAGAATTTATACGATGGAATACATGAAGTAATAAATTTAAGTCATAAAAAGAGCGATAACATCTGCCTTTCTGCGCCGCAGCTAAATTCGGCCCTTAATCCGGTACTTAGTTTTGTGATCTGGCAACATTGTTGAGAAGTTATTTGCGATGTTTGCTATGAGCGCGTTCGTTCAAACGACAAATAGCAAATGCGTTATTATTAAATCTACAGAACAAGTGTTTAACTTGTATTTAGATGCTTAGAAAACTTATATTTGTATTTGAAATCTAATTTCTGAAAGTATGAATCCTAGTTCAGAAGAAAAGCTGACGGCTTTACAGGATTCTCCTCATATTGGTGGAAATAAAGTAATTTCTGTTTTAAAATATTTTCTCGTTCTTGTGATTAATGGCAGTTCTTTTCTCTGGCATCTTTTAAGTAAAACTTTACGATGAAATGGTAAATATGCATTTTTCACTTAAGCAGCTGAAGAAGATATATCGGAACTAGTCCTGCAAAATTTACAAACATTACCCCGATTATTGTTATTCAACTTCCCCAGGAATCGTTATCCGGCATGTTATTTTAACCTAAATATGCAATGATTAATAAAGAGATTTCTGTAACCTGTTTGAAAGAAGCTGATTTAATCCTTGTATGCGTTGCACACGGGATTTCGCGACTTTTATGATGAGCCGTAAAAACGGGACATATACGATGAGTAGTAAACGGGTCATTCAAAGAATATATATAGTTATACATATTATATACTATGTATATAGTGATAGTATATAATTTATAGTATATACATAGACGTTCTTTGGGTCATTTTTGTGTTGGCGATAATTTTCAAAATCGCGCCAAGGCTGCACAGTATACTGGGATTTTACCAAGAAGCTTTCTTCAGTTTTTGATTAAAAGTAATTTGGAAAATTCGTAACCGTAAATAATTACATTTGTTACATTCCATCTTAAAAAGTGATTTAATTAATAAGGGTAAGGTGCAGAATTGCCCACTATATGGTGTGTGTATCAATGTGTACATGGACAAAGTCAAGGGAGTGTGCAATGCCTAGTTTGTGTAATTCTTTGATTTTTTTTAAAGTGAAAATAAGTTGATGTGTACATAAATACTGAATTTCTGCAGCTCTTTGACTTGTTATTTCAAGTTGATGCAGAATCGGCCACTAATATTGTGATTATCCATGTGCACATGGATAATGTCAAGGGAGTGTGCAATGCCGAGTTTGTGCAATTCTCTGATATCTTTTTTAATGAAAATAGGTTGATTTGTATATGGACACTGCGTTTGTGCAATTCTTTGACTTGTTATTTTCAACTTTACGATTTTGCGAAACACGGGAATCAGTGAGTGATTCTGCACTTTCCTCATTAATAAAATAAGTAGTAAAATTCTAGTATATGGTACTGCCTTGGTGGGATTTTGAAAATTGTCGCCAACACCAAAATGACTCACTGCTCATCATCAACACTGCGTTTACTGATCATCATAAATGTCGCCAAGTCTGTGTATACCGTATACTAGGATTAAACCAAATAAGTACAAAAATTAATTGCACAAGTATACTTTATCCAAATTTTGTTTAGTCAAATTTTTTTGGAATTGCATAATTTTCACTTTCATAACTGAAATTTTTCTGTTAGACATAAAAATGAATCTCTTTCTTTTCATATTTTTTTACTTATTGCTTTTTCAGTACTGTCTTTATGCTTGTTCTTGAAGTGAAAATGTGCACTGTGACAATTTGTCTTGCATGTTTATTGTGCATAGCTAGGTAAGCCATGGTCAGCAGTATACATGTAGAGGCAGAGGTTGGATTAAGGCCAGTACTTGTGCATCCATGTAGGCATATAGGATATTATTGGTCTTTGCTTACTTCCATCCTAATTAGAATTCCAAGAAAGAATACCCAGTCTGATGTTCTCCCATCCCTCTTTCCCATATCACTAACCTTGCTAGCCATGTATTTTGAAGGCCTTTTGCTGCACAGGCACTGTATGCTTACAAACATTAATGCCTTCTCCAGGATTCAAGCTTGGTCATTTTGATATGGCAGTCAGCATCACTAACTACTATTCTGTATGGTCAACACTGTCTATATGCAGCAGAATGTGATATTTGACATGCATAAAACTGTAAAATGGTCACATAATATTAACTATAGCAGATGAATTATTTAAGCATATCTCCTAATGAAAACAGTATTTTAGTATAAATTTGATGTAATTTAGGAGAGTTGTAATCACTATAAATTGAAATTAGAAAAAAAAAAATTTATGTATCTTTTTGTGTTAATAAGAATAAAACTGTTTCATTAGAAATATAGGTGTATTATGGAACATTATGAACTGTATACATGTTTTACAATAGGAAAGAAATATGTTTTATTAGAAAATAAAAGGTTGGTGTATTATGAAATACTGTGCACTGTGAAGTAATAAATTAGTAGGAAAATACATTATTGTGGATATAAAGAAGTGATAATGTATGCATTGTTAAGCTTAATAAGCTGTTTTGCTAAAAACTGATAGGCATAATTATTTTTTTTTATTAATTTGCGAGTTAATCTCTTGGTTAAGTTATTCTTTAGGATTGCTATTGAGAACTGTGAATCAGTTGGATGATGTATCTTGAATGGGTAAAGGTATATTTTAGGGTACCTCTCAGCGAAACTTGGCGGTATATGGATACCGAGTTTGTGCAATTCTTTGACTTGTTATTTTGGCTTGCGTGGCTACACAAAGCCAAAATAAGACAAAGAATTGCACATACTTGGTATCCATGTACACATCGACCTATTTTAACTTTAAAAAAATTGCTGAATTGCACAAAAATGACATTGCATATTTCCTTGACTTTATCCATGTAAACATTGACTTATTTTCTCTTAAAAAAAAAAAATCAGAGAATTGCACAAACTATGCCTTATGCACTCCCTGAGTTTGTCTATTTATACATCAATATATTTTCACTTAAAACGTCAAAGAAGCACCCAATTCTACAGTAGAGGCAAAGAAAAAATACATAATCTCAATAAACTACATTTTAAACCAAACAATAAAATAACATAAAAAAGGAAAAACCTGTTATGCATTCAAGCACTACACAAAACAAATATTCACTTACCATATTTAAAAATTCGTTTGTCTTCAGTCTGTGGCACACAAAATTCCTTAACAGCATCCAAAAACTTTCTAAAGTTATCTGAACTGTATATCGGCGTCACCACGTAAATTCACAAAAATAAGAATAAAAAATATACTATGTAGTTTCCGGACTGTCCGGAAAATGGTTATAAGTAAACCTTCATGTACACACCAGTCAATGCACTTTTCCTCTTTCGTTCCAAATCGTACAGAAACTTCAAATTAACCTTACTGCATTCAGCCATTGTATCGTCTAAACAATGAAACAAGCAATGCACTAAGCAACACACACCACAAAAGCCCTTGCAAAATATCTCATCATTCAAAATTTCCCGGGATAATGCAAACGATTACGTAATAATAGGGTTTCCATACATTCAACTACTCAGGTTACCATAAATGATACAACAACTTCGCGATAATATAAGGGATACCTTAAAGTCAACTCAAACCCTTGAATGAAATACACAATGCAGTAATATTAATACTTTTAAATATAGAAATAATTTCGGTAAAATATATTTCAGGGTGATCCCCTTGATGAAAACTGTTGATTTTTAGCTATTGGCCAGCAAGGCACAATTTTAAGATGGCCACTACGCAAAACCAAAATAGCAAGTCAAAGAATTGCACAAAGTCGGCATTGCACACACCCTTGACTTTGTCCACATACACATCGATCTATTTTCACTTGGAAAAAACCAGGAGAATCATAACGTCATATAATGCTAAAACGAAGTTACTCATCACTAAAATTGAACAAAATTTGTAGCCAGTCGAAGGTCAATAAACTGAATTTTAAATCACACAGTGAAATAACAAAAAACGAAATGCATGTTATTGCATATATGCACTACAAAAAGGAAATATCGACTTACTATATTTAGATATTTCTGTGTTATCAGTCTGTGGCACACAAAATAGAAATTGTGTCTAATGTATACTGCTGTCACTGCATAAATTCAAAAAAATAAGAGTAAAAAAATATCCTCTGTAGTGGCAGACTGTTGGTGGCATTTCTTGCGACAAACCTATTCAAAGCCATCTGAATATCTTTACGTTTGACCATGCGCATTTCCTTTGTACAGAAGCTCTGTTCACAACACTATGAGTACAAACTTCCTGCAGATAATTATTCCTATCTATTGCTGTTTTGTCGGCCATATGAAAACATATGGCCGACAAAATATGTACTTTCCCCCATTCAACAGATATTATTTCTCTTGACCAACTGTAAATGAAGCAGACTGCAGTCATAAATGTGTTCTCGGACCACATTGTTTTTTGAATGGATATTCTGTTGTCACAATTTTTTATATTGTATTGCCATTGTTTATCTCTTTTCAAGTAAAGCACTGTATCGTGTCTATTAAAACTTTTTTTTTTTTTTAATGATGAGATTTCATAAGTTTGAAAATAATTCACTGCTTGCTTTTCTGTAGTAGGCAAGTCCCAAAAGTTTTTATCATTTTTTCAAACTAGAAGAAAAAATGAAGTGATAATACTTAAGTACTATCCTTGTTCACAAAAAAAGTGACTTTTCAAGAATTGACCTGGGTTACATGAAGCGAAAATACAGATGTTATGCATAGGTTGTGATGTCATGCTCATCCATTAATTGGTGTTAAATCATGCTGCTTGGTCAATCGACAAGATAATACTTAAGTGCTAAAAATTGAGTCAAGGGGATTCCGAGGAAAAGATGTTGTGTTAATGGATTACTAAATAGTAGGCTCATAAGGAAAATTAGTTCATATTATGACTTAAACTTTCTATAACGCTTCAAATTTTTTTCCTGTCTTAAATGTCAAATCTTTTTTCTATCAGTTACAAAATTATAGTAAAGAACTGCATGAATTATGCAAGTAAATATTACAAATAATTGTGTTTATGAAAAATTATTTACATCTGATTCTTTTAATTTTTGAATGTCAAATTAAAGATTGTGAAGTAAAAATAAAATGCTGAATGTTAAAATATTGGTATGAATAGTAATGAATCTTTGCTATATGTCTAGAATGCAAATTAGTAAAATGAGGTATATTTATAATATGTGTCTTTAAATAATAAATAAAAAATGAAATTTATTATTTTTTACAAAACCTTTTTGCCATAGTAGAATTTTATTTTTACTTTAAAATATTTGTTTGTAATTAAAAGCATGTTTTTTTTTTTTTTTGTGTGTGTGTGTGTGTGTGTGTGTGTGTGTGAAAGCATCATATACGAAAGCAGTGGGAGTTTATATCTTAAAAAATTATATGTATGTTTTTAGTTTTTTATTACATACTTTTTCTATTTCAGATGAGTTCAAGTCTTAAGGAACGTCTGAAACGCTGTTCAAGAAGCCATTCAAGTCCTTTAACTAAATGTATTTTACCCAGTTCTCCTGTCATGTGTAAGCCACATGAATTAAGTACAAGTTTTAAATCTGATCCAGCAACAGCTGTATATCCTTCACCGAGTGATAATATATTGAATGAAACTATTGTTCCAAAATCAAAAGAAGAAATTGAAGAAGTTCAAGATAAGTGTCTGCTTCTTCAAATGTATTGTGCTTTAAATCAAAGTATAACAGCAAACAAAGAAAAGATAAGAAAATTGAAACTGGTATTGCAGCATCATAATGAGGTAAATTTTTTATAATATAATCTAATACATAACATAATTTATACAAATAACTGTTGATGTAAAAACCAAAATAAGTTTAATTATGTACTGTAAAAGTCTGTGCATATAACCCCAAGAAACAAATTTTGTTTTTGTTGGAAGGGGTCATGTGACTCAAAATACATGAGTCTGATAGTACAGGATGGTCATAAAAACGCTTCCCCTGTATATGAATTCTTGCTGGTCTATCTGCTCAACCAATAAAAATGAAATTTCAGATAGTGTTAGTTGAATGTATGCGCTTGAGATTGTCGTGATTTTATACAATAGAGCTCTCACAATTACAGTTACAGTGTAAACACTTTGAAATTTTTGAATGGCAACCCTTTTTTCCTGCACAAATTAATCAGTGCTTAAAAAACTGTAAATGGCTTTGGGATGATACACGTATGATGACAATTACTGGTGTAAAGTATTTGCAAAGAAGAGGATTACAAAGGATCAGTGATGACACAAGAGCGTAGTGGGGGAAAAAAAACCTTTTATTGAAATTTGGATGTTTTCAATCTGAACAATGTTTAAAAATAGAGTCATCTCCCATAACTTTGCAGTTTTGTGGCCACCACAATCCTCCAACCCCATTCGAATGCATTTCGAGTTCTGGGGTTATCTGAAATGTAAGATTGGTAAATTCACCTGTGTAACCAATTCAATAAATGCATGGATTAGTGAACCACTAATTCTTTTAAATCTATTTCTACCATGATGTACCTGACCTTTGTAGATTGGGAAGATCCTGAATTACTTCATTGTAGATTGGAAGACCTTATGGGGCCACCAACAAATATCTTTGTTAGTTAAATTTTACTACAACTTGACCATTATGATTAACTAAATAATACACAAACTTAACATATATCTTATTTACAATAGATTAAACAATATATAATATATTAAATTAAATAACCTTAATTACATTTACAATAAATTATAATGTAATGTAATCTGTGTTATAACTGAAACACAGTTACATGATACATAACTATATATACATTTTTCTTGTACAAAATAATTATAATTATTTTAATAAGCTTGTCTTTAGATTATTTAATCTTATAAAACATAATGGCAATTCTTTAACAATGACAGAGAATAATATTAAGTAACATATAAAACAACTTCATTTTTAATTAAGACACAATAACACGCCGAATAAGTACTAATTCAGAAGTCAAACAACAAAAATCAGCGTTAATCCTCAAAATTTTCACAGGACTAGTTTCGATGGATTTACCGAACCACCATCCTCAGCTGCAAAACCACAAATGAACAAGATAGGAAGTAATGATTAGATAAGATAAGAAAGCCTGGACAAGAACAAGCAAGTGGCGCCATCTGTTGGTGACACCAGAACTAAAACATAATTTCTGTAAAGGCCAAAGGCAAAGATGGATTGAAATTAGAATCGTTAACAAGAACAGAAAGATTTTTTTGAATGTGAAATGCCTCTAGAAAATCCAGTTCTCCAATGGAAGATGTTTTTGAATAATTTTGGCAGCAGAAAAATTGAAGGTGTGATTTTCGGACCAACAATGTTGACCAACAATCTGCTAGCCGAATTACACTTATGCTAGAAATTTCATGGAACAAAACTGCATAATCATGTCAAATATTAACTGCAAAATTGGGGAAAAAGTGCAAAATCGCAAACTCCTTGCCGCGTTTTTCAGATTTGCACATACACAGTAACCATGTACACGTCGACTTATTTTTACTTAAAAAAAAAATCCCAGAATTGCACAAAAATGGCATTGCACACACTCTTGACTTTATCCATCCACACTGCTATTTTCTCATAAATTACAAAAAAACTTGCACGAAAATGCAGGAAAATTTTGTGACTCTTTAAACTCGGTAAAAAGGTAAAAAAAAGCACATATATGAAATTACCTGATCGCGAAAAAATATATACCCTTTTCCAAGAATGAACATTTTCCACGTATAAAATAAATAAAATATCCAAAACTTTTACCTCTAAATTATCTATTATAAACGTCACCAACGAATTTATAACGCAAACATTAAAAATTGTTGCAAAACTTAGTGTCAAATATTTAAATTATTTTCATGCACGTTTACTTCCACTGAAACATATACCAAATTGCTACAAACATATAATTCACAAAATAACTATCATTTAATTAAAATATAATTAAACCATGTACACGTCAACGTATTTTTACTTTAAAAAAATCCCAGAATTGCACAAAAATGGCATTGCGCACACTCTTCACTATATCCATGTACACTGCTTGTTTCTCATAAATTAGAAAAATTTCACGAAAATGCATGAAAATTTTGTGAGTCTTTAAATTCGGTAAAAAGGACATATATGAAATTACTTGATCGCGAAAAAAGTATATACCCTTTCCAAGGATATGAACATTTGCACGTATATAAAATAAATAAAATATCCAAAAAATTTTTCCCTCTAAAATTATCTATTATAAAACCTCACCTGCCATTTATAACGCAAACATTAAAAATGATTCCAAATACTTAGTTTCAAATATTTAATTCTTTCCATGCACATTTACTCTACTCAAACGTATTCCAAAATACTACAAACATATAACTCCCAAAATCACGATCATTAAATTAAAATATAATTAAATTAAAAAACACTACTTAAAATATAAATAAGCACATACATTAAATTAATAAAAATTAGCTTACAATCCTAATTACTTTAAACTAAATTGCTAATTTCAATTTTCCAATAATACCATATTAATTTATTTACTCCTTACATTTAGAACAATGCATAAAAATAATATCCTCAAATGATTAAAAATACTAACTTACCTAATCTTCTACAAAATCTTTAGTGCATGGCGGATCACAAAATGTCCATTTTCACCAAATTTCTTGCACCACCATTCAAACTTATCTGTAATATCCTTCCTTTCACACAATCTCATTTCATTCCCACATATTGGACACTCATACTTATCCGCAATTAATCCTACACTCATACACCATTCAACCAATTCTTTTGAATTATCAGATAAACGCATTAAAAATTTAGAATTCACTTTAGATAGCGCCATGCGATCCAAAAATTAAACACTCTTTCACACAACATACAATGAAGCTTAATACAAATACTATAGTACTGCAGATATTTTTCCAAATTTACCCCCTTTTCCGATTAAAGAACTATAATTCGTCCATTAATGTCACATGACATATCTCATGATCTCTCATTTCCTTCACACAAAATAATGCGTAATCGGAACTGAGTACTTCTCACATTATTCCCAAAGTCCTAGGTAGTAACCTTTATTGCCTCCAAAATGTAGCCAAACTACCTGTTACCATATTCCAACGAAGTTCCTTCATCTTTAGTCTGTGGCACACAAAATTCCTTAACAGCATCCAAAAACTTTCTAAAATTATCTGAATTCGAATCCATATATCGGCATCGCCAAATCTAAACCTTTCTTTCTACAAACCCATTTAAATCCATCTAAATGTTTTTTACGTTAGACTAGACGCATATCCTTCCTATATACAGGACACTTATAATGGTTACTAAATAAACCTTCATTTACACACCAGTCAATTAATGATTCATACAGAAACTTCAAATTAATCTTACTACGTTCAGCCATTCTACCATCTAAACAATAAAACCAACACACACCACAAAAGCGCTTACAAAACATCCCATGATTCAAAATTTCCCAGAATCATGCACGTCACAATAGTGTTTCCATAACATTCAACTACTCGGGCTACCATAAACGAAATAACAACTTGGCGATAAATGAAATAACAACTTGGCGATAAATGAAACAACAACTTCGCCATAATACAAGGGGTACCTTAAAGTCTACTCTAACCAAATTAAATAACAGTGTTTCAGTTTTTCAAACAGAAGTTTATGCTATATTAAAAGCCTTAGAGTAGCTTGCTACAAATTCTGGTATAGAAGAAGTAAATGTTTATTCACATAGTCAAAGTGCATTACTAGCAGTAATGTCTAAAAGACGTTTTACTAATTTGGTTCATGAAACACATCAGTGGCTGATGCAAATATTTTTAAAAAGAAATATAAAATTTCACTGCATCTGAGGACATATTGGGATTCATAGTAATGAACTTGTTGATTCGAATGCAAAAATTGCTATTGAAAAGAATTAGGCAGACATAGTTATGGCCATTCCTTTTGAAAGTTTTAAAGGAATTTTTACAAGTAAATTTATTGAAATTTTGCAGAAACTATGGATAAATGAAACTAAAGGAAGACATACTTTTATAAATTTGAAGAAATTGAATTGAAAAAGGTATTGGAAATGGTTATTTAAATCAGTTTCTTACAAATCATGCACATGTTCCAGCTTATTATTATCATTTTGCAATTATGTCAATTAGTTGTAAATGTAGAAATATAAATGGCGATGTTGAACATGTTACATTATGTGACAGTTTAAGAAACATGTGGAGTGGGCTTTAACCAACTCTACAGATAACCTGCAACTTAATTAAACTATTCCAAAATGAGGAAAAAAAAATTGTCTTTAACAAGGATTTTAAAAGAGATAACCACACTGGCAAGGAGTCTTATAAAACCTGGGCTATTCATAGGATTCCTTGCCAGTGTGGTTTAATTTACATTGGCCAAACTAAGAGAGCGCGTCAAAGAACATGAGGCACATGTTAGAAAAAAGGAAACACAGAAGTCTTCTGTTGCTCAACATTGTTGGTCCGAAAATCACACTTTCAATTTTTCTGCTGCTAAAATTATTCAAAAAACATCTTCCATTGGAGAACTGGATTTTCTAGAGGCATTTCACATTCATAAAAATCTTTCTGTTCTAGTTAACGATCCTAATTCCAACCCAAATTTGCCTTCGGCTTTTAGAGAAATTATGTTTTAGTTCTGGTTTCGCCAACAGATGGTGCCACTTGCTTATTCTTGCCCAGGCTTTCTTATCTTATCTAAAGGCGAATAAATC